TTAATCACAATCTGTATGTTAAAACACCGGAATCCCCTGCAGTTATCAACCTTTCTTCTGGTTCAAACAATCGCACCTTTGGGTTAGTAACCTTTGTTTGGTTCAAATACCCTTTCCTTCGGTCAAGTACTGCTTATACACCTCAGTGTATCGTCCTTTGGGTCACAACCTTCGCTTGGTTCCACACCCGTCCTTTGGGTCACAACCTTCGCTTGGTTCCACACTCGTCCTTTGGGTTACAACCTTCGCTCGGTTCCACACGTGTCCTTTCGGTTATCCACTGTTTATCAGTTAACAGACCGAGTTCTCCAGAAATTCAAACACCTTCTCTTGGTCCAGTACTCTCTTTCTTCTGGTTCATCACAGTCCGTCTGTTGACACCAATATTTTGCTTTCCCCATAGAGTTTTACTCTTATCTTTCTTCGGTTAATAACTGTCTGTCAGTTAATGCACCGAGTACCTTGTGGATCTTATCTTTACCTCGATTCTTATCATTTGTTCCTTTATTCTTCTGGTTTCGACACCATTCTTTTGTTTTATCCCCAGTAGAGTTATCACTTCTATTTTGTGTTCCTCAACAGAGTTTTCCTTTGCCTTTATTTCTTGGTTTTGACACCATTCTTTCGCATCCCCAGTGGGGTCTTGCTTTCTCCTTTTACTCTTGGTTTTGACACTGTCTTTGCTTCCTTTTCTTTCTCTGTCCTAGTTCTGCGAACTACGTAGGCTCTGATTTCCTCATTGCACTATGAGGGTACGTAGGCACGAGATTGCAAAATCTTGGCGAGCCACCTTCTTCCACCTTTTTCTTTCTCATTCTTGGTTCCATAAACTACGGAACTCTGAATTCCTCATTACACTATGAGGATACATAGGCACGAGGCCCCAATCCTCTGCGAGCACTTTCTTTATCTCTCTTTACTTTCCCTTTTTAGCTAGAAGCCTTTAGATAGATAACCCATCCAAGCCTAGAAGCAAGCGAAATGGTTCCCATCGAGTATGACAGATGCGTAAGGTGATAGTACCTTCCTTTTGTATAACCAACCCCGTTACTCATTTCTCTTCCCTTTAGGTTTTATCGATATTTTCCCTGTCCTTTTGGGACTAAATAAAGTTCGGTGGCGACTCTGTTGTATCTTTGAGTGTGTGATTCACTCAGGTATAGTGTTTCTAACCTCTCCTAGGCACATATATCACTTCAAAGAATGTATAACAATTATATAACTCTTGTATATTTGTGAGATATCTGAGAAACTGGGCCTCTTTCACCTATTATTCTCTAATAACTTAGTTTGCAATCAATTGCGAGTCTCTCATAGCTATGAGACTTGAATAGTCCATTCTATAGCAAGATTTATACCATCGATGGCTTTGAAGTTGAATATGAGATACTTCTCTAAAAGGAGGTCATTTGGACCTTCCATCACTATACCAACACCACTTCTCTTTATACTCGAGGTGTTATCCACATATAGTGTCCATGTATGATGGATCTCATGGCCCAAGGATGAGGTGAACTCCACCAAGAAATCTACTATCACCTGATATTTTATACTTCCTTTGGGCAAAAAATGGATATGGTACGCTGATAACTCAGTCAATCAAAATACCATATTACCTTCCAGGTCCATTTTCTTCACGATTTGGCAAATAGAGTAGTTGGTTTTGACCATCACACAATTCCCATGGGAGTATGGTATGATTTTCCTTACATTAGTCATGACGAACAACACAAACTTTTTAATTTTCTGATATCTCTCTTCGAATCTCTTGAATACCTTATTCATGAAATAGATCGGTTGTTCCCCTTTGTCTTTCTCTTGGATGAGTATAGAGTTTATTGCCCTGTTAGTTACTGATAAGTACAAGTATAAGGATGTTCCCTCCTTAGCGCATGTTAGAGTGAATGGTGTTTCCAGGAAAACCTTAAATTTTGTGAATGCCTCCTCTCACCCGTTTCTCCACTTGAACTTCTATTTATTCTTTAGAGTGGCGAAGAAGTGGAGTGCTATGTCACGTGGGCAAAAAATAAAATGTGATAGAGCATCTAAGCTCCCAGTTATCTATATAACCTCCATGATGTTGTAAGGTCTTTTCATGTCAATGATCACCTGGCTTTGTTAAGATTCTCCTTATTCATCTTCTTGTTAGCAAAAAATCCCAAGAATTTTCCTACTTGAACTTTGAATGAGCACTTGGAGGGGTTCAATCACATAATGTATCTTTAGACTGACTTTAATATGTCTTATAATTCTTTACATTGGCTTCCTTTTTTAGGGGTTTTCATAATCATATCATCAATATAAACCTCCAGATTACGCCATATATGGTTTGAGAATACCATATACATTAGCATTTGATAGGCACTTGCATTTTTCAATCCAAATGATATGCCATTGTATTAGAAATTTCCATGGTTTGACATAAATGTTGTCTTGGGAGCATCCAAAATCTCTAGTTTTATTTGGTTATAACTGGAGTAGGAGTCCATGAAACACATAATCTTATGACCGGAGGACCCGTCGATCAATTTTTCAATGTTGGGCAATGGATATGAATCTTTAGGGCATATTGATTAGTGAAATTGACACACATCTGCCATTTATTTGATGCCTTTTAAACCATGACCAATTAGCTAGCAAAATTAGGTACTTGATCTTAGTTATGAAACCTATGTTTTTTAACTTCTTAACCTCATCGATTTCCTCCATCTTCTCCTCACCCACTTTGAACTTCCTCTATGACACATGCTTCATAATAGAATCTATAGTGAGGCGCTAGAAGACTACCATGACATCTATTCCAATCATGCTCGAATGGCCCCACATGAACAAATTAATATTCCTCTTAAGCAGGGAGGTAAGCTCTTCCTCTTCAGTTTTAGTCAAGAAGGTACCTAGCTTGGTGGTCTAGAAAACTTGGTGCTCGATCTGGAACTCCTTTAGGTCTTCCATAGGCATCAGTCTTTCCTTCTTAGGGTCCATCTAAGGATTCAAATTTATAGAATTCACTTCACGCACATTTGATTAAAAAATGGCTTATACGGCTATCTCTGCCCTCCTTAACCTAAGGCAGTCTGGTAGCATTCTTGGAAGATCTCTCGATCAACTTAGATTACCCCGAACTGCCCGTTGGGAAGCATATACTTCATAATTAGGTATAAGGTTGACAAGGTAGCACCCAAAAGATTAAGGGTATGGCGCTTCATGATGATGTTGTATGAAAAGGGTGCGTATACCACGAGATATTTGACCTTGATCATCCTCTCTTTCCCATTCATCTTAAATATGGTCTTGAGGGTTATGTGCCAATTTACCTGCACAAGCCTGCATGAAATCCCGATTAGCAAACCTTAAAATTCCTGAATGACATCTGGATCCAACTAGAGCCTTGGAAACGCATCCCGAAACATGACATTTGCTTAAATATAATGACCATGGATTTTTTGTCATAAAGATGCGTACATGTGGCATCCTTTACAAAAAAATATTTTAGGTTCTGAATTCTTTCCCTCATTTGGTGTGAGGATGATAGCTCTGGCATCCAACAACAAGACTTGTCCAGCGTATATCCTGCGAGAGGAGATGGATTCTCCGCCTCCAACAAACCCCCCTGCTATAATGTGTACAGACGTAACCCCTTGGGTGGGTATTATGATTCCTTCCTCTGTAACCATGTTTGGGAGATGATTAAGTTGGCTGGTGCGCTAAATATGGGTGTGACCTAGGTTATTTTTATCGGGCCGCACAACGGGTGCCAATTGTACTTGCTAAAGTTATAGTAGAAAGTGAGATTCGCTCCCATACAAGAGGCTTTACTGCGTGAATTCAATGGATGATTAGTGATCCTTTTATTTGTTAGAGTTTAATAAGGGTGTCCACCTTGCCTTTGACTAGTTATGGTGTGCTAAGCGTGGGTGAAATTGTGAAATGCCTACCCAAACAGGAATCGTGAGAAACTCTTTTTCAATATGTGTCTGTTTGAAATCTGTGATCTCCTTCTCTATTTTTGGGATTGAGACATTTATATAGGATTATCTGGACCTGGGCTAGAAAGTTAGGAGACAGTTTTCCCACACTCTTCCCAAGAAAGATTGAGCAGAGATTCCTCAGTCGTGGAAAGAATGGTTTTCCCCTCTCTATATTTTTTATCTCAGATCGTTTTCCTTTTAGGTCCAGTAAACTATCCCAATATTTTCTCTAAAAATAACATTTTGACAAAACTATATATAGAGTATTATCTTTAAAATGAAATAAAAGTAATAATAGTGTTTAAAAAATTAATGTATACATCACTTTTTTGAAATATTATTTTTTTCCTATTTCATTTTATAGTGAGCAATTAAGTAACATTTAACATTTGCATATATATATATATATATATATATATATATATATATATATATATATATATATATATATATATATATATATATATATATATATATATATATATATATATATATATATATATATATATATATATATATATATATATATATATATATATATATATATATATATATATATATATATATATATATATATATATATATATATATATATATATATATATATATATATATATATATATATATATATATATATATATATATATATATATATATAAAATAAAAACATTCTTTGGTTTTTTAGGTTAATTGATGGAACATGCTTAACCATACAAATATAGAATATTTTTCATATTGAGATTAGAAGATCCTTTTTTATGTCCATCTCAACTTGTTATAGGGTGGGGTGAAGAAGGAACTTATCATTAGATTCCATGAAGACATTACACATTTATGTTATATAACCGTCTCTTTCTGATAAATTATTTACCCCAAAATTCCACTAAACTAACTATACATGCATCTCCTAACATGTCGAGTTAAAAGCAGGTCATCGATCAGGTCATCCACAGCTATATAAAGGGCAGCTAGCAATAACACTCTCATTAAACCTTAGATATACTTAGCAGTGTTGTTGGTTACTACAGTTCAATGGCTTCAAGCTCGAATTGGACGGCAAAACAAAACAAAAGATTTGAGAATGCACTAGCAATGTTGGAGAAGGACACTCCAGATCGTTGGCAGAAGGTGGCTAGAGCTGTGGGAGGAAAGACAGTAGAAGAAGTGAAAAGACATTATGAGAAGCTTGTTGAAGATGTGAAGCTGATTGAGGAAGGACATGTTCCTTTGCCTAAGTACACAAATAATGGTTGCAATTACATGATGGATCAACAAGATAAAAGGTTCTTAATTACTTAGTACTACTTCTAATACTATTTGATTTTTGTTGTTATTTATGGCCACAGTTTGATTGTATTTATCATGCATGATGCAGGATGAAGGCTCTAAGTCTCCAGTAAGTAATCAAGGATTGGTTCAATAAAATATTACATTTTCCATTTTGTTTCTCTCTGTGAAGTAACAGGGCCATGTATTTGTATTTCTTGTATTTCCGTACACACTTGTAAAAAAAATAATGCATTTTACTATATATGCAAAAATGAAGTTATACCAATAACATGTCATTTGGTAAATTATATATATAAAATCAAAAATGAAAAAAAGGCTGTTCTTAGAGATATATTATTCATCCATATAACTTTAATTACTTATTAATTAAATAAATTAATATATTAATTAAAATTAAATCTGATAACTGTTCGATAAAAAACAATGACTATTTATATAATATTTTAATGTAAAAAGAAAAGAAAAAAAATTTTATGGAAAGATAAGGGTTCAATTTTTCAGTCATTCAGATTAATCTAATTCCGACGTATATCCTTTCTTGCGGATCGAGGTAATAAATTGGACTCTTTTTTTCTATTTATTTTTTATCTATCTGTCTTATTTTTGAATATTCTAGGGAATTGGATTATTAATAATAGATTCTAACTGAAAGTTTCGGTCCGGTTTGCTTGAAGAAAATCTTTTCTATGATGAGACTCAATCATATCCTGCATGAACAGATTCCGTAATATATTCGGAATATATTTTTCGTTTTGTTTTTTTTATTTTCTTAGAACAATTTTGAATTATTTACTTCAAATGGTAGAAAAAAGATTTTCTTATTTTCACGTCCGGAATTATTAGATAGAAATCCGAAGATGAAAAGAGAAGCAAAGAATATCACTATCGTGTAAACAAAGTGGTAGAGCGGTCGGCTGTTAACCGATTAATCGTAGATTCATGATCGATTCACTTAGCATCTTTTGGATTTTTTTATATAGCATACGTCTTTATACTTTTAATTTTTCATTTTTTTATCTTTCATTCAAGAAATTATATATATATATATATATATATATATATATATATATATATATATATATATATATATATATATATATATATATATATATATATATATATATATATATATATATATATATATATATATATATATATATTTTAAATATTTTAAAAAATTTTAAGAGTATGATGATTAAAGGAGTTCTTTTTTTTTATAAAATAAAATGATAACAGTAATATTTCTATTTAAATAAAGATATACAAATATTTTTGTATATATATTCAAAATACAATTTTTTTTTATATATACACTTTTTATACATATCAACTAAACTTATAATATCAATATAGAGAACCTTACCAATTTCCTTATCAGGATTATTTTTATAAAAAAAATTTAAAATATTAGAAATTTTAAAAATAAATTTATTAAAATATTAATTTTGGCATTCAAAATATACGTACACATTTTTTAAAATTAAAATAAAGTTAAAATTATAATTTTTTCAAAAATAAATTTTATAAAAAATTATTTTAAATAATTTTAAATTTGAATAGGATTAAAATAACGTCTAAAATGAACCTCCAATTAAATGGTTAACGGTGGACCATGAATGATTATTGGCCATAGGATTAAAGATTTCTTTGAGATTTTATAATACATGTACCACACCAAATAAAACTTTTTCTCTTCACTCACCTATACTGTATGTTCACTATTTTTTCTTCTATTTTGTTCTTCTCACACATTTTATTATTGAAAATTGTTTTATTATTGAAAATTGTTGTAGATATTTCGATTTTAGGGCTGCTGCAAAACTAAAAATAAATAGAGATAAAAACAGAGAAATTAATTTGCACGATAAAATTATAAAGCATGTGTTTTTATACTAAGCTTAAGAACAATTCGCCCCCACTAATATTTGTATGTTGAGTGCAACAAAGTTTTTTCTTGCAAGATACTTTGGAATCTTTAAAGAGAATTGCACAATCTCTCTAAGTATATCTATTGACAGTAGAAGTAGAAGAATGTTTCTTTTGTTGAAATTAGATTAATAACTATTAATATATAATTTTGAGGCGGAAATCAAGCATGTATAAAATTAAAGGATCGAACTGAATGATTTTAGGAATAACATGATCCATAATCCTAAACTCAATTCTCTTCGGATGCAGAGAAGAGATTATTTACTTGTTGTACATATATTGGGGACCATAGCCTATATATATATATATATATAGTATGATGGCCAATTAGGGTTCCTATTATTCCCAAATGGACCATCCTAACATCCACCCATATTTGAGTCCATACCAATTATTTAATTAATTAATTAATTAAATAATTCATAAATAAAATCTAAATAGTCTTTTTAATATTATTTGATCACTTAATTATTTAAAGGCACTTAATTGATAAAAACGCTAATATAATAAATAAATACATTTGACCACATAATTATTGGAATATTAATATATTACTATAAAAACGCATCCGAATGTTATTTTTCTTTAGATTTTAACTTTATAATCTGGTCCACCTCATACGTCAATAATGGGATCACAGCGGCTGTCGTCACTAACGTATAACGTGACGAAACCTCGATGACCACCACATCAACATACTTGATGACATAGATCAATATGGATGAGTGGCATGAAAATTTCATGCAATGTGATCTCTAAATCATTCATATTTCGAACGGATCCTATTGGAGTCTTTAGTGAGATCAAACTGAAGTTCCTTAGGTGCAATTCAAAGTTACAATATTTGCACATAATAAAACTTGATATTTTTATAAGAATAATACCTCATAAGTTTTTTATTTATGCAGAAAATTAAACATAACATAAAGTTTGTACTAAAATAAAACCAAAACATAGAACATAGAAAAATTAAGAAAAAATCTCCCACTAATCTAAGGCAATCTCAAAACCAAGACCCATATGAGCAACATGCTCATAAAAAGTCTTAGGTGCTAAACCTTTGATTAGGGGATCAGCTAGCATTAAGTCTGTCCCTATAGGTTCTATCAAAATTTGTTTCTCCTGAACTCTTTCTTTCACAACAAGATACTTGATATCGATAAATTTCGATTTTGTAGAAATCATATTTTTGTTGGAGTAGAGCACAACTGCACTATTGTCACAATAAACCTTCAAGAGCCTTTCAATGCTCCCAACAATATGTAGGATTATGACAAAGTTCTGCAGCCAAATTGTATGATTTGATGCCTCAAAGCAAGACACAAACTCTACTGCCATGGTGGAAGGAGCCACTAAAGTCTGTTTAGAAGACTTTTAGGAGACGTCTTCTCCATCCAAGAGAAAGATGTAACCATATATGGAATGTCTGCTATCCGGGCATCCAGCAAAATCTGAGTCAGAATACCCAGCGATCTCCAAGTTATCTGACTTTCGATAAGTGAGCACGAAGTCTCTTATTCTCTTTAGGTAGCGCATTACACGCTTTACTATTATCTAGTGTTGCATACCAGGGTTGCTTAGATATCTACCAAGAACTCCTACAATAAATGTCACGTCGGGACGGGTGCAAACTTGATCATACATAAGATTTCCCACTGCTGAAGCATATGGAACCTTATGCATCTCTTGCTTTTCAAGATCCGTAGTAGGCACCGTTTGAGACAAAACTTGTCTCCTTTAGCAACAGGTATGTCTCCTGGTTTAATATCTTTCATGAAAAATCTATCCAGAACTGTATCAATATAGCTCCTTTGTGACAATCCAAAAATACCTCGAGAACGATCTCTAAGTATTTGAATTCCTACAACAAATGAGGCGTCCCCAAGATCTTTCATCTCAAATTTATTTGTGAGAAATATCTTGGTTTCGTGTAGTAAGCCTATATTGTTGTTTGCCAAAAGTTATCAACCGGATTTACTCCCATTGAACTTTTGGTATACAAAGTTATCAACCGGATTAGCCTCAAAACCAAATGAGGATATTACTTGATGAAATTTGTAATACCCTTGACGGAAGCTTGTTTAAGGCCATAGATGGATTTCTTGAGTTTGCAAGCCATAGACTTTGGGTCTCTTGAAACAAAGTTTTCTGGTTGCACCATATATATTGTCTCTTCAATGTTTCCATTTAGAAAACATACTCTTTACATCCATCTGATGCAATTTTAAATCAAAATGAGCTACCAATGCCATCACGACCCTAAGAGAGTCCTTCGAAGAAATTGGAGAGAAAGTCTCTTTATAATTAATTCCTTACTTTTGATTAAATCCTTTTGCGACAAGACGAGCTTTATATCTCTCAATGTTACCCTTTGAATCCTTTTTGGTTTTAAATATCCATTTACAACCAATGAGTTTCATTCCTCCAGGTAATTTAACAAGATTCCAAACATCATTGTCAACCATCGACTTCATCTCATCCTTCAGATAATGGTTGTGTAAATTTTAAGGCCTTCTCATTTAATTTATTTTATGTATTCAATTTTTATTTACATCCATAATCCTAAACCCAGAAGTTGTTGGCTTTTGTGGTTCTTCCTCAACCGGTACTCCTTATGCCTCGAATTCTCTTCAAATGGGGAGAAAAGATTATTTGCTTGTTGTACGGTATATTGGGGACCATAGCCTATATATAGTGTGATGCCAATTAGGGTTTCTATTATTCCCAAATGGGTCATCCTGACATCAACTCATATTTGAGTCCATACCTAATTATTTAATATATTAATTAATTAAATAATTCATAAATAAAATCTAAATAGTCTTTTTAACATTATTTGATCACTTAATTATTTAAAGGCACTTAATTGATAAAATAGATAATATAATAAATAAATATATTTGACCACATAATTATTGGAATATTAATATATTACTATTTTATTAAAATATTCCAACATCTTTTCCTTGATCTCATGTATTAGAGAAGAGAAAGATGATTTAGAATGAGAAAATTATTTTGAGATTGATTTCTTTTTCTTATGATTGATCAGACGCCAAAACCTTTTACTTATACTGAAGTTCACATCTATTTGAAAATAGAAAACACCTCGTAGAGAGCAGTATTGCATCGTTTCACTATAACGTATAAAATTAATATCTTCAGCATAAAAATAACTGGT